ATATTTGTTTATGATTATTAATATTTATTTACATACAATTTTTTTCTTATTTTTATTAGGCACCTTATTGGAATCATTTTTTTATTGTTGTTTGTTATTGTTATCATATATTTATTTTACTTGTCATTACTTGTTTTGTGTATAATGCTTTGGCAATATTGTATATATATACACAATCATGCTGATAAAGTATATCTTTAATAACATTAAGGACACACATTTTCATTCAAACTTTATTTTCTGGATCAAACTGACAGAATGGTGTCATCCTTCCACTACAGTAATCTAGTGCTGTCATTTAAACTAATGTTAATAGTCTCTCTGTGGGAGCTGTGCAGTGAAATACACTAGATCCCCATTGGATCACTGGATTGACCAATCAGATAACAGGATTGAAACTATCTGTTTTATACATGGAATGTAAAAGTAAACTGCTGATAAACCAAACATGCTTTCCTCTATTTCTCTGATGTGTTTTGATGAATGGAGGCAGAAATTCAGGCTCACTCAGCACCTCACTCACTAAGAATTTAAGCACATTAGCAGATTTCTAATCCCAAACTGAAGCAAATCTTTCATCAGCTTTTGTGCGCTGAGTCGGTTCCCCCGCGGCAGTGTTTGTGTGCTTTATCACCATCTTTCGTTCTGCCTCAAGGTCACACAGCTGCTGTTTAATTAGAGACACTCAGAGCTGCTCCAGGAGCCCGTCAGACGCGACCTGAGCGCAGACGTCTGCAGGACGCGCGGATTAGAGCAGACGTCAGTCATGCCACAAATCCTCCATCACATCACGAATACAGGCCGTTTGCTTTACTGCTTCCTGCAGCGCCATGCATCGGTCAGAATCGCATTGAGAATGACTTTTAAATTAAATGAATTCAAATTCACATTATTTCATAAATCTGTCATTTTTTAACGACAAAAAAGAATGATGTATTTAGTTCAAACCATTCAAAAAGTTTGGGGTCAGTAAGATTTTTGGCCCCACTTTATATTAAGTGGC